TTAAATCTCTCCCAGGCCTGATATAGGGTCTCACTGTCCTTTTGGGTAAAAGATGAGATTTGCTTCTTAAGGGCGCTAGTCTTATGGTGGGGAAAGTATTTCTTAAAAAATGCGTCCGTCATTTCAACCCATGTACCAATTGAACGTGGTCTCAACGAATATAGCCAGGTTTTTGCTCTCTCTTTAAGTGAAAATGGGAAAAATTTTAACCTGGCTGCATCCATTGTACCATGTTGATTGTGGAAGGTTGCAACTACCTCCTCAAATTCCCTAATATGCACGTATGGGTTTTCACTGTCAAGTCCATGAAAAGTGGGAAGAAGTTGAATCATTCCTGGTTTTAGTTCCATACGTGACATATTGGGCGGAAACATTATGCATAATGGTGTGGATGTACGTGTGGGGTGCAAATAATCATGCAAAGTCCTATAAGGCGCATCGCCATGTTCACTATCAAACATAGTGTTATGTGTTGAGGTTTTCGTGGCAATTGATGCAGTAGCAAAATAAGGATTATATTGAGATTCAAACACTGGATAATGTGCTCCAGTAGAACTCCCCTGATTGCCTTGATCCCTGCTCATCAAACACACACACAAAAAACAAAGAAAATGTGAAAACAAAATAAAAATAACACTAAAAAAAATTAAATCAAATAAAAATGAAGGAAAAGGAACGATGTCACCCTTTTTCGGTCGATCCCTTGATTACTTATACCGTCTCCCCGGCAACGGCGCCAAAATTTGATTACGCCCAAAATATAACGCAGTGATTGTAGTACAACTTTGGGGTGTCGTATCCACAGGGAGATGGAAATTTTCTCAAAAAATCAAACAAACTAAGGTTTTCGTAATTTTATGTGGGAATGATTTGTCACTTGAAATAAAAATTAATTATCAATATACGACATAAGTGAAGCGTCGGAATTCCCACAATGGATTGGATCAATCGACATCAATAATTCATGTATTTTTCCTCAATTGGAGATTTTCTTCCCAACTCTCTAATCGGAAGATTTAACAATAAAGTCCAATTTAATTCCAATTATATTGCTAGAATCTAGATTTTCTATAACACATTCACACATTTTTTTTATTGGAACAAGATCAAAGATCGACCATATACATCAAGCATAAGGCAGTAATCAATTCGCCAATAAAGTAATATTAAGATTAAAATTCAACAATTGTTTCAACCATTCGATAGAAGGAACATGGCTAGATCTATGAATGATTTGATAAAAGTTAAAATAATCTCAACAATAAATAATTCAAATTGTAATTCAACAAGTATTTCGAATATTCGATAGAGAAAGCATGACTGAATCTATGAAAATTCTAATAATTGTTAAACTAATGTCAAAAACATATTCAAGATATGGAAATCCGATTCTAAAATTGTTTAATAATGAAAAACTCAATTACATGAATTAAAGATGTCGAAATCACCAAAACCGATTGAGATCCTTCGTTGCTTCACCAAGTTCCTTAGTTTTCCATGGAGTTTCTTGAGCACCAAGATGAAAGAAATAGGTCTGGGGGCGTCTCCCTTCGTTCTGGATGGTTTTGGGCATTTATATCCCGTGAAAATTAGGTTACCATAAGAGATTCAATCGTATAAGAAAATTGAGATTCGGTCGCCCAAAAAACACTATGCGACCTCATGGTTACTGTCATTGCGGTCGTATGGTTATGCACTTTCAGCCTCTTCAATTCTCGGTATAGGTGTGTGCGACCGCATAGTAGAAAGGCATGCGACCGCATGGTTCTGCCAGACATCTTTCAGTTTTTTAATCATAACTTTCTTTCCCGATGTCCAATTGAGGTGATTCAAGTTGCATTGGATAGCTAACTCAAAGGGCCACAATTTTTATTCAGAAGTCATCTCCCATTTCGATCATCTTCCATGTCAAAAATGGGTCCCAACATGAGACTAAAAACTGGTGTGTTGGTTTTCGATTGGAAATTGATGTATTGATCAAGCTTTGACGTTATTTCATCCCTTTGACTTCTTTCCTCATCCACTTGACCTCTAATACTTTCGAATCTTCATTATAATCTTAGACACAAGTTTGGATCATTTGCACTTTAGTCCCCGAACTTTCGTTCTCTTCTACTTTGGTCATTTTTCACTTGTTTCTTCTGAATTTCCTCTTTTTCACCAAAATGCAACCTAAACCAAAATATAAGAGTAATGAGTACATTTTGGCATAATATAATCACATGAATGCAATAGTTAAGAGGGGAAAATATGGTATTTTACACTCTTATCAAAGTGTCATTTCTCTTTCAAACTAGGAAGTTGTTGATTACGATGCCTGACATTGCTTGCATAACTACCATCCATAATAGTCCTAATTGTTGTCTTTGGCGGCGACGTTGGTTCCTTGTGGTAGCCATGGTACTTAGAACAACGTCTAAAAAGTGCTAATATAATGTAAATTATTGTTGACAATGAACAAAAAACGAAAACGTATATGGTCAATGTGAAAATACAAGTACGAATGAGCTAACCCACATATAGTTATTAACTCAAAATGGTTCTTCAAAAGTAATATCAAGGTGTAAACATTCAATGCAATTATTGGTAGTATAAATTAATATTGTAGATATTCCTAAAATGGTAGGTATATTTGCATTAATATTGTAGTATAAATTTATAATTGTATATTTTCTTGCAATTATTGATTGATTTTAATTTTCAATGTATTTCCTAGAAAGACAGCCCACGGCTAAATAGCAATTTTACGAACAATTGTAGAAAACAAAGGTAAAATAATTCTTCCAAAGGGGCCCTCAAATTGTTTTGCATGTGATTAGCTCGATTACATTTTTTTGAGGGAAATATCTCGACTAAGTCTAAGCATAATTACATTTCAAAGACCGTGCACATTATTTTGGACTGAAATACTTGGTTTGAAATGATGCAATTTATATGGCCCTAAAAGGCTAAAAACTACAACTGTTGAAGTAGACAATGATATTTCAATGCTTAAATTGACATACACAAACATATATGAAAAGTAGGTTAATAAAGAGAATTGATCCGGACATACACAAAATTGATCCAAATTAAGTCAAAAGGGCAACAATAATTGCTTAATCTATATTTTTATCTAAATCCTAATAAGTAATACAGAAGCAAATGATTCAGTTTTTTATTATTTAAAGAGATGAATGAGATAACATTAATTACTTCCAAAAATTATGTCGACGCATGGAAGTCCTGGGATTTGCTTTTGACGTTTAACCATTTCTTCACCACCGTTTTAGGCCAAAAAAGTGTCAACAGCAAACACTAGAAATCAAAAATCTTGAAATCCATAACAAAAAATAACGCCTATTCACTCACTTGTGTTTAGCTTTCTGGAAAACCAAAGCAAATTACAAGCATTTACCCAACTCTTCAACTTCCAAGGGGGAAAAAAAGAGAGGAAGGTATAAACTTGCAAATATTATGTTTATTTATGCAGTACATACAGAATTTGAGATTTCGAACGGGAAAATAGAGAGAGACGGAGAGATGAGATCAGAATCAATGAGCGTGCATTGTTGGTATGGATTATGTGGAGATTTTTTGGGTTGACATCGCCGGTATTCCAGAAGTGGGGCGGTTCTGCATGAGAAATGGGATGGGGGAGTGATGTGAGAAGAAAGAGAAAGGGAAATAGGGTTTGGCGTGTCTAACTGGGTTTGTTTCACTTTCAATTGTCAAGAAAATGAAAAATCAGCTCACCCATGGGAATTGAAATTCCTCATTTTCGTGGAATAGAGTGTCACGTGAGTGAACGTGAGAGAAACAATTGCCAGGAAGATATTACCTATCAAACAGGCTAAAACTTGAAAAATGGTGATATAATTTCCATTTTTCATGGAAAATACGGCCTATCAAACAGGGCCTTATTTCTCTTTCATTTTCCTTCACAACCCGTCTTTGAGACAAACGGAAAGAGAGAGGTAAATCTATTCAATGAATGGGACCTTTCCGATTCTATGTAGTCTCTGTTTGATTGGGATATATTTTCCATACAGAACTTTTGCACATTTTTCAATGCTAGCCATGAATAACTGAAAGTAACAAATCGATTGTGGGATGTCATCCTTTAATTAATATCTTACAGTTTACCCCATGGATGTTCTTTTGTTGCACGGTTGTGTCCCATATTCTGCTTCAGGTTTGTCCATTTTGGAGTCCTCTTTTTGTAGCAGATCTTGTGACAATTTACATGAGTGGAACACTGTAAATTTTATATTTAGAGGGTTTTCGAAATTCCAGCATGAAGCATGATCGTTGGAAACGTTTCCTTCATCAATCTATATGCTATAACCTTCAGAAAAGAAAAAAAAAAAAAAGAAAAAAAGAGAGACAGCTTTACTATGTCGATACGGTTTCTTGCCATGTCAACGATAGGAAGTTTTTGTCCTGCATTTCATTTCAATTCAACTTACGAAACATTTATATGTTTTCGATTCTCAGCAGTTCATGACTTCAAGGGAACTTGCTGAAAAACCATAAATATAAAACAAATGCATGGATTAAATTAAGAAGGCAGTGTCTCTCTCTCTTCCCTTTTTTTCTTTTTCTTTTTTTTTTTTTTTTTTTTTTTTTTTTTTTTTTGGGTTGATAGGAATCAGGTTGAGGCCAGTGGCTTTTAACATCCCTAATTTTAATAAAAAAAAAATGAAGAAAAGAAAATCCCAATAAGCTTGTAAATTATACACAAATATTTTTATTCCACATTCAATTCCAAATGGGAAAAAAAAAAGGGAAGGAAAAATCCTTGTAACTGAAAGTACCTTCTCTTCTTTTCACAAACATAACACCTTGATTACAAAAGAAATGGAAGCAATAAATTCTCTCCTTTACTCCATAGTCTGTACTGGCAAGTCTAACCTCTAATTTTTTAAAACTGTTATCTTCATAGTTGAAATAAAATAAAAATTTACTAAAATATTAATCCCGCTTCGAAAATTTCCAGATATAACTACAAGAAAACTAAGTTAAATGAATTCTTTGAAGTAAAAATATGTTTATATTTTCAATATATATAGTCAAGAAAACCATGAACATTAAGAAAAAGAACCTCATTATTTTTTAGAATAAATAATCTTACTGTATAGAGAGAGAGGTGTCGTAAACATTTATTCATCATCATTGCTTCGAGCTTTCTTGATTTTGTGTTCATTATCATCTCGAGGCCTTGGAGGGAACATTGATTCGATCTCGGCCGACACATCAAGCTGGAGGCGCCTACGAATTCTTGATGGCGATAATTTTCTTTTCGTAGATGATCTGGTTTTTCTTGGTGCTGGCGGGCACTGCTTGACCACTGGGATTTTGTGATCCGAAGACGTCGGCGTTTTGAACCCTTCATCATATTCTTCTACCTCGGACTGTGCTAAACATGGCTTTTTAGATTCTCGAGAAGAAAATATTGCCTTAACCTCTTCTTCTTCATCTTTGTGATGAGTATCTTGATCATCTTGTTTTGTTACATTAACTTGACCACCATCTGACACAATATCTTGTGAATAATCTGGATCGTCCACCTTAGATTCTGAAAGAATGTCGAGTTTAATCTCCTTTGGCTCTTCTTTGACGAGAAAATACTCTGCACTTGACATTCTCACGCATGAAGACTGCTCAACGTCTGAGCACATGAAATGAAACGAGGGTGGGTGGGGGTGGGGTGGAGGATTGAGGGAGTCAAGAAGAGAAAATGGTGGGTTGTTAGAGAATTCCTACATGAAATGTAATCGTCAAGATCACCATCTTTTGTTTTCCTTTAATTGATTATTTTCACCGAGTTTCTTTAGATATTTGGAGTTTTTCTCTGTGCTTTTGAAGCAAGAAGTAGACCGAGAAATTTAAAGAGAGAGAGAGAAATGTTAGTGATGACGGTAGAGGAGGTTATCAAACAGTATCTTAAGGAGGATCCAATGCGCACAAACTCTCGTAGTCATATACGTTTGCAATTAGTACTTATATTCTGTTTAATGAAAATAAGCAGCTTTTCCTGTTTTCTGATTAATCTCTACGCACTTTGATGCAACCTATGCACGTGGTTGATAAATGGGGACCATCGACAAATCTTTAATTTCTCTTCATATCTTTTCAACTATTTTATCACCTGCTTAGTTTATGTTGCAAGCAACTACATTTAGTTCCTCTTTGATCCCATTAATTTCTTGTAATGTAGCCTACGTTTATTTTCCATTCTTTCCCTATTAAAATGAAAAATATAACTGTTATTTATCACATCAAGCCACAAAATTTGAATTTCTATATTTTGTGTGGAGCTTATAACGATTATATTTTTCATTCCCATTCTTACAAAAATGAAAAACCAATGGGGCCGTATTATGAAATAGTGAATTGATGAAAAATGTGTGATTAAAAAAATGAATTTTTTTGATTTACGTGTAATATTATTTTATGAAGAATGTGTGATTGAACATAAGTAATGTGTAAAAAATAATGGAAAAAAAAAAGGGCTCAAACAGGGGCTTACTCAAGTGCCAAGAACTAAATTTTAGTGCTTGTTTCATAAAAATCATTTAAGATATATTCCATTCGTCCCATTTATATAAACTGATTTTGTTTATCATTTTTTTGTCAAAAACTTCCTAATCTACCCTTGTTTATATTTCTACAATTTCAAGATTAAGTAGGAAAAATTGATTATAACTAAACAAATTAAATGATAATATATAAATAAACGAACAAAACAAAACAAAAATTATCAATAAATAGACAAAACTATATAATTGGGACAAGCAAATAAGAAAAGCCAGACTCTATATTTGGGACGATGGGAGTATCAATTTTTTAAGCAATAATTTTAACTACATATTGCGGAGGAACCATAATTTTTATTAACTTTCAATCAGAAAATTAATACTAACTTTTATCAAAATATTCTAAATCTAAAAATCTTTATCAAGCCATTTTTCTCGCTTATTCTCTATCATTACATTGAGAGCCGTTTGTCATTAATGACTCAACACGTTACTTCTCATTAATATATTACACTGCAAGTTTCTATTTGCTATCAAAATGTGGCCACCAAAATGTATAAAATTAATAGCATGTTTCGGAAGTATTTATCAAAATGTGACCACCATAATGTATAACACTTTATATATATCAATTATTTTAACTATTATTTTATTCTCAAAAAATTCAATTGCTATTTTAGTTTTATCTAAAATTATTGATTTTTCTTCATCATTCATCGATATATCTATTCATCCATAAATTAACATTATGTGATGTAGATAATTTTTTTTTTTTCATTTTCATTTTTTACCCAAAATTATACACATTCACTAGCTCTATTTATAGATTCTTCTCTTCTATGAAATTTTTTCACACATAAAAGAAAAAATTCATCAGCAATAGATATCAACAAAATTACGTATGCATTTTTAACAATTTTTTAACGTGCAAAATTACACCAAATTAGAATGAATAAGAAGATAACTTTTAGTTACAAAATAACAACTAATGTAAAAAATTATTTTAATTGATTTTGTTTAATTATTATTCATGGAACAATTTTTTTTAATAAGAATATAGCAATTACGAATTTTTGTTTGTTATGGAAATGTAGAAAGACTCAATGAAGTATTTTCTAAAAATTTTAATATTTTATTAACTTACAAACATTAATTTTTATTGATTTGAAGTTAGTTTTTAGGGAAGAAGATCATAAACCTTATATATTTTATTGAAATCTTTTAATCTTTAATAAAAAATCAATAATTAATATGCATTATATGGTGTAATTAAGAGTATGTTTAACTATTTTTAACGGCACATTAGTAAATGTGTGTTTTTTGTAACCATTATGTAAAATGTAATTTTGTAACATACGGTATATGAGAGTAATTATACCCTATATACAGGATGTATTTTATAAATTTCCCATTAAAAATATATGGTGCAATTAAGTCAAATAAGTTGTTATAAGGATCTTTTACTTGAAATATTTTTAAAGAATTATATGGTTCAATTAAGTCAAATAATTTGTTTGAAAATGGATATCCAATTGCTTGTGAATACACGTCTTTTGTGAGTGATATAACGTATTATTTATTTCTTATTAGCTACTTCTAAGAGCAACTTTGATCAAAAGATGATGTCTAGGTAAGAATTTGGAGAAGTCGTACATTGGATAGGAATAGAATTATCAAAAATGCAGTTGGTTAAAATTTTGAGAATCCAAGGGTCGAGGAGATTTAACAATTCAAATTTAAAAGATGGAAATGAAATAGTAAGAGACTTGTCGACTGAATATTCAATTTTCTCTATTTAAATTATCTTGCGGAAAATTTTAATGGTTGGTTCAAACTTCAAATGTCTCAACAAAAAAGAGGCTAGTGACTGTCACATTAAATGCTAATTTAAATGCAATGAATAAACCATTTAATTAGAAATGGTCCATGCACTATATATATATTGTGGCCCTTATCACTTCTTAACGTGCCCTCGCTCAAATGTTCCAAATAAATTAACACATATTCATAGTGGAAATATTAGTTGACCTTAATTAGAAACCTGTGTACCTAATTGCATATTAATAAGTCGACACCACTTTAAATTCAGGGTTAGTGACCTAGGATTCCAAACTGAAAATGGAAAAGCCTTTTGATTTTCATACTTTCTAAACTTATCTATGAGTTATACAATTATTGTCATCTTCTTAGAATATAACATATTGTTGAAAAGATGAGATTTGTTAATGGTTATCACATTTGTTTGACCTATGATTGCATCATTGCATGATTTTTAGAAATCAAAATCAATTTGAGGTATAACTGAAATATTGACCTAATTTGGTCAAGCACGTTATAATTGAATAGTTGACCTTACTTTTCAAGTGAAAACTAAATCTTGAAAATAGTTTAGGTGCGAAACCGTGAGTCATGAGCATTCATGATCGAGATAAAATTCCATTGTTCATAGATGTTAAATGGATCTTTTCTTTAATTTCTCGATGGTAAGGGTAGTTTATCTTGTTAAGTTCGATGTCTTAAAAACCTAGTTTACATAATTATCTAGCTAGAATTAGTTGTTGAATTGTATATGATTGGTTGAGTTTCGTCAATCTAAATTCTTGATACTTTGTGCAAGTTAATGAGTTTTTTGCATAAGTTGATGACATTCTCAAAATAACATAGAGCATCTATTTGTTTTAACAAAAGAATAGTTTTTAGTAAATTTTGATACAAGTTGATGAAATATGTGATCGAAAAATTGGTAAAAGTTATAGGTTCCATGCAATGTGGGATTAAAATTAAGCCCTCATTTTGGTGAAAAATGTATTTTTGAACAGTGATTTTTTGGAGAATATGTGGTTAAAAAGTAAAATAAAGTTCTCGATTTACGTATAAAATCATTTTATTGAAAAACGTGTTGTTGAAAATGAATTTTGAAAAAACGAGTTTTCCAAATAATGAAGCTCAAATAAGGGCTAATTATTGACTTTAACTTGAAATTTTATCAATTTTTTAGTTAAATCAAATAGGGGTAGAATTAAATAGAGTAGTGCTATTCATCTTCATTAACCACATTAGAGCCACATAGAATGGGATTATAACCCCAATAAGAAAAGTCCAAACCTGCCCAAACCCATTTACTGTTGGGGTAATTACACAAATACACTTAAAATCAGTAACTTTTTTGAAAAATCATTGTAAAAGATATTTGGTTTGTATTAAAATCTAATTTTAATCTAAGTTAAGCAGTCAATATTGACCACATCTTTCATAGGTACCACAACTTTTTAACAACATATTTCAAAAACTTCTATCATAATCTACTAAAAAAATCTAATTTTAATCCTACCAAACACCCTTTTAAATTATAATAAGCTTAAATTAGAAACTAAAAATCATATTAATTACTGTCAAAATCCACAATTAAAAAGAGCACATTACAAACTTCAAAAGCTTAGTCCTAACTCCCAAAGCTCATGAAAGCTCATTCTTCTTCTCCATTTTTTCACTAGTCAAAGTTGAACATGGATTGCACGTCATTCTAAAGTATTTTATAAGTGATGTAAAAGTAATATTTGGTACCAATTTGTTAAAGGATTTGATGAGTCTCGAACGAATTAAAGAAAATAAAATTTAGCATAAAATTTTAAGAGAAGAAAATTGTTCTCAAATTGTACTCTTAAAACTCAATTTCTATGATTCAATTTTTTTGTATTGATGAAATATTATAAATGAACAATCTTTTTATATTACATTTGGTACATAAAAATTAATAATTAATACATAAATTTAAACACTCATTAAAATTTCTAGATACATGAATATGAATAAATTCATCTACTATAACTCTAGATTCATATAATTCAAAAATCATCAAGTGAAAATTCATTGAATCTAGACTAATGTGAATGTTAATTAATTGAAAATTAATAACAAAAATTTCATAAACGACAACAATTATATAGTATTTATTACATATCGAAAAACTAAAAATATGGTATTATTGAAATAATTGAATCGTAGGTGGTTAAAATCGTCCAAAAAATAATTCTCCCTTGATATAATACTTTAATATATTATAGATAAATCCAAATTCACATGTGGACCATTAATGATGTTCCTTTCGAGGTAGTGACACGTGGCTTTCAAGATATTTACAAATCAAATCACCAAAATGTAAAGTTCATTGTATCTTTTAGTCACTGAAATTTAAGTTTGGAATATTAATCTGATATGATGAAAAGTCAATGCATTTACTCTATTTATTTGTTTATTATTTTTTTCCCCCAAGCTTTACGAGAAGGTTTTCGATTCACAAGCATTGGTACGGTCAAATTAAGACGATAACTTGCAGGTTCATTAGTTTTTCAATTTTGGGCAAAATAGAAAATCTTCTTGATAACTGAAG